AAATAACGCGCCATGGTGGCGCCAAGGCGTGCCATGGCGCGAGGCGTGAAGAATTCGTTACGAAAACATGCAAAATGTCTTTGTGAGGAGTGGCGCCCGAATAACGTGGCTAGGCGCGTTTTAACGCGTTATGGTGCAAATTTTCTCCAAGGCGCGATTTTTTTTTTCAAATCGGGCATGAAAGAATTGAGTTGTTGTTAACTTTTTCATGTTAAGTGTTGATATAACACTTCTAAAAACTTGTTATATTTGATATAATTCTATAATTATGTGATTTATCTTTTTTAATGTATAAAAACTTATCACGCCTTGAAAAACACCATAGATCGCCAAGACTCGCCATGGCTTGAGGCTTGACATTGCCGCCACGCCACGCCTCACGCTATTTAGAACTTTGTTTTTTTTCTTACGAATCCTGTAATCGTTAATATCGCTTGAAGTTAGGGGAATTACTCGTGACCCACAATCTTAGTTATCCCAGAGCGTTCATAGTTCGGATAGTGTTGTGCATATTGAGGAAATGGAAGATCATCTTAGAGTGATGATTTAACTGTACATATTCAATAAGCCTTGCATGTTGTTGGTTAGTGGCAGAACGAGAAGAGAACCTTTATATGGTCTAATGATGCTAGCGGATTATGGAATTTAGAATCCAAGATACATCTAAAAATCTGTAACCTAAACCAGTAAGACGGTAGACTTCATGGTAATTCTAGTAGCAGATATATATATATATATATATATATATATATATATATATATATATGGGTGTGAACGTTAGTATGGGCCCAATACTATCATAAGCACGAGATATACATTTGGGACTGGAGGAACCATGAAGAAACCCGAGGACCTGGTGGTCAGTTTTCAGTACTCAGAGATGGAATATTTGTATGTATGGTAGACCTTTTGTGCCCTTGTTTCCTTTTGTGCTTGTTTTGATGTACCTCAAAGTTCGTTGATTTCAAGGTTAGATAGTAATACAGTTATGGGAGATCCAGTCTCGGTGGAGGAAAATGTTTGATGCATGTGGAATCTTTGTAGATGACTACATTTTTCTTTAACTTTGACTTCGTTTTGGAATCTAATCGTTCAATATTATCGTCAGTATGGTTTGACTTTCCACCAACCAAACCGAATTCTCTGTATTGAAGAGCGTGTATGTATTCCGCTTGTTGAGTGAGGGTATGTTTAAGGGGAGAAAAATCTCTTCTAGAGTCTATTCCCATAATTCCTATGATGATAGCACTTAAGTGCCTAGCGAAGTGATGGGAGGTCTTCTTGACTCGTGCGAGTAAGGAAGACGATGAGTCTCTTCGATATGTATCTTGTTAGGGAATATGGCGAAGTTTTTCCCTGATGAGATTTTGAGTGTATAAACACCATGTTAGGTAGAGATCTAGTTTGACCTTATTTCTGGTGTGGCTCCAAAGCCAAAGCACCATTTATGTTGGTTCATTCGGTAATGAAGGAAATGGTTTCATAGCTTCACGAGCTGCTTGAGTGCGGGTTATTCGACCAAGTTCCTTGTCTTAGGGAGTGTTAGTGTAATTCGTTAGAAGAAAGACAATACATGTGATTGGGTATCAATTATCGAAGGTTGAATAAGATCAAGATGAAAACAAGCAATTATCTAAATATCATTCTGGTTTGGGGCGTGAGATGATGCAACAAAGGAAGGTGATTGTGTTTCTTTACCAATAGACAAATAGTGTCAGGGTGAATCACTCTGTGTATATTTAGGAGTTGGCAGGAGTAGTTATTACTTCTAAACTATGGCGTTTTTATTTGTATGCTAAGAGGTGTATGTTGTATGCCAATCATAAGAGCTTACGAAACATTCAGAGCGAGAAGGATCTGAATACGAGGTAGCGATATTAGTTTGAGCCTCATGTTAGTTGTATTCGCAAGATAAGGTACCACTATGGTAAGGAAAATGTGGCTGCTGACTCAGAGTCTCAAGGAACCCATATCCTTATACTATCTCAATTATGTGATTCTGGTGGATGCTTTTGGTATTTTCTTAGTAGATCCGAGCTGCTCAAGACAAGGATTTGAGAGAACACTTGATGAAGGATAAATTTATGGTGAAACAACCAGTTTATTTAGTAGAGGGAAACCGAGGACTTGAGACCTTCCTGAGGCGACATTGGGTCCCTAAGGTCGGTGGTGTTCATGACACACTATTATGAGACATGCATAAGTCTAAATATTTGGTTCACCCGATAACTACTATGATGATTCATGACTTGAAATCTGATTAGTAGTGGCCAGTGATAAAATGGGACATAGAGAAGTATATGTTAGAGTATGTCATGTGTCGCAATACAATTCATAACATCTGAAACTGTACGATAGTTTTCATCTATTGGCAATGAGTTAGAGGATGCTACCTACCATGAGGAGAGTGCATGGGATGTAAATTTGACTAATGATGCTTTAGGTGAAGTCACAAAAACTAAGAAAACCACTTTTGGTTGGAGTAGGTAATAAAGTTGTCGAGTAGACATACAAGGATGAGAATTATTAGTCTTGACAATCGAGACAAGTTATGAGTCGAATGTCTTGCTGATAGACAAGTTGTGAGTCAACTAGTTGATGCACGAGATAAGAGAGCTGGTAGATATCTTGGTTAGAGATAGACCAAGTAGCGAGGGGTGAAATGAGTCAATATCGTTAGGATTCAAATGGAAGGACGGGTATGAGTCAGAAGTGACCTAGGTGGTCGAATAAGAGATGAAGGTTCGTTAGCTTAAGTTGTTCGTACCGGTATTTGATTCCGAGGATGGAATCATTTTAAGGAGGGGAGAATTGTAACGACCTGGAAATCCTTCCGTTAACGACGTTGATTTTCCGTTACTCGAATGTTAGTGGTTGTAAATTTATTTCGATTCTAAACATATGAATTGAAAAAAAAATTAATAAAAAAAAATTATTTAATATCTAAAAGAAGTAATTCATATTTAAAGGGTATATAATATAATTAATTGGTTTTGTGGGTAAATTAGAGTAAATATGATTCATTAAAAGGTTTAAATGGAATTATAGAAGTTGAGGGTGCTATTGTGTCATTTCTGAAAGTGCTAAATCTAATGGAAAATATGGTTGGAGTGATAACAGAATAATGAGAAAAGTGCAGGGACAAAATATGTAAATTACGAATTAAAAACCCACTCAATAGTCAAACGTTATGGGTTTTATCATGTTCTATTTCCTATTCATTATACGAATGTTATATATTTATCTAGGGTTTAGGACGAGATTGGAGAAGAAAAAAGATGTGTGATCACCAGGGGAGAAAGAAGTCGTTCAATAGGGTTAGGGAGGAATGAGAGAGTTGATCCTCTTTTCGATGACCTGTTGCAGCTATCGTCAACCTGATGCCAAGAAGCGATATGGGTTGCGCATGAACGTGGTCGACGAAACCATGGGTGCTAACCTACTGGTTCGGCGTACATGTTAGATTTCTAGTAACCAAAGAATGAAAGAAGCATCGACAAGGTTGGGTGATGCCCATGTGGGTTCAAATGGAATATTCTGGGTAGAGTTGTGTGCTTCCGGTAAGGAGTTTACGGTGACAGAAGTAGAGATCGATGGCTATAAACCATTGACCTGTTTTGGTGCTCGTTTATTCTGACAAGGGGTCCAACGTCCAACAACAGGATTGATCATGTGAAGTAAGCGTAAGTGATGATGATGTGTATGCTACGTTACTGGTTGGCATGAAGACTTGAGGTGCAGGTTCTTAGTGTGCGGCTGAGTTGTGATCTCAAGGATGGGAATTGGTGTGCAGCCACTTGTTATCCGACAAGTTAAAACTAAAAGAGACGGGGTTTGTTCTCACGATTAATGTTACGCCCGTATGTTGCATGAAGTTGGTTAAGGGGAACAAAGCCTAAGGTAGTGTTTGTTTTTTGTCTGCAGATTTGCGTGGCCTCTTCTGTCTGCGTCGCGCAGACCACGCGCAGACATTAGCCTTCGCAGACTGTTTGTTTTTTTGAAGACTGCAGACCTAAAAATGTCTGCGCGCCCTCTTCTTGGCGCAGATGTGGACCAGAGTCTTCTAACATCTTCAGACATCTTCTAGCCTAAAAAAACATATATATATATTTATTTTTTTTAAGTTTTTTTTAATTTATATTTTTTCAAACTTTATTAATGATAAACAATTTGAAAAAAAAATTACAAAACTTAAAAAAAAACGTTCGACGATACAAACATGATATTTTTGACAAATTTATAAATAAAGATTTATTACAATACTAATCGTGGAAGTTGTTTATATAAATATGAAAAAAAATCATAATATATTCTTATATTCTTTTGCCAAATTTTGTAAAACATTATTTAATACAGTATCGTCAATTTCTCGAGAAAATATTTATGGTACGTTTTTAATGGATTTAATTGAAAAAATCGAAGTTTATTTCCATCCATTTATGTATCAAATTCTTTGATCACAAATTATAATGTCTAGTTATAACTTTGCAACCAAAGTTGTTGGTTTTTATCAAACATATACGTTAATTAATACCATTTTTATTTTTATTTTTTATATAATAATACATAAAAGTTGATCTAGATTCGTTAATTATTTATAACAAAGTCATAAAAATATTAAAAAATCACTTTGAAGTTTAAAAAAATCAGTTTATTTAGATTTCAGTTTATTTTAGTAGCCCACGGATGTTAAAAAAACAAACAGTCTTCTTTTTTCAGACTGCAGACGTTTGGTCCACCTCTTCTACTGCGGAGGTCTACAGATGTGGTCCGCAGACTGCAGACATTTTGCCTCAGAAAAAACAAACAACACCTAAGTGATGTATTATTGGGTGAAACTAAAAACTCATGATGAGTAATGCATGACAGATTGGTTGGGAAATTATGAGGTAACAATGTGATGTATTAGTTTATATATGTGTAATCCCCTGTCTTAATAAAAGAAACCTTTTAATCCTATGTGGCATCTTCTAAGCATGGTATTTTAAAAAGTTGATTACCTATTTTGCCTTTCTCCGTTTCATATTCCAGCCGAGTAGAAATCGCTTCTAATCCGGAAACAACTTATTGACACCTTCAAATTGAATTCGACCGATAATCTCTCCCCCAATCTTTCCCTCTGGTTTTTGGGAACCAAATCACCTTCTATCTTTCTGTCTCTCTATAAACCCTACATCAACACGGTTTATATATGTCGATCACCACCATTACGTCATGGATGTTTCTTCCTCTATATCGATGGATGGTTCTTCTTAGATGTTGAAGGATCTAACAGTTGTAAGCCCAATTTCTTTCTTTGATTTTGTTAAGGTTTGCATCTTTCTATTTCTACTTTGACTCCGGTTGCTAAATTATTATTTTTCTAGGGTTTTTTTGTCGATCGACTTCATTCATGGAATTGCATAAAATTATTAGGACTTCTTATGGAGTAATACTGTAATAAACTAATAATGTGCGATATCTCATTAGAAAAAGCTCCTTATTCATCTATCTTGGAGATGACTACCATTTCATCGATTACCTGAACCGGTTAGTGCAAAAATAAGAAAAAATTGTTTGTTCTATAAAAAAATCGAAAGTACAACACCTTGATAAAATTGTTTTTCCATGATTCTGAGGTTATGCAACAAGAAGGGGCTGTTATTCATATCAAAATGTCATGAAATCATTGTTACTGAATTTCCTAAATTGCCCTTCATGATGAAAATCCTCCAATTCGAAATAGCTTTTCAATTGGCATCACATATTTGTTATGCCAGTGCTTTAGGTAAAGTGTAAAATGACTGACTGGTTTTATGCTTTTTTTTTACTTTTATTGAAGTTTTTTATCTTTATTTAACATTAATTTTTTTATTTCAAGATTCTAGACTGAGACCTGATGCAAAAACACTTCTTTCTCACCCTTGGATACAAAATTCAAGCCCTGTTGTATTGTAGTTTTCACTTCGCCATAGTGGTAAACTCACATAATTGTTGTAAGGATACAGATTATATAATTTTATACAAAAATCATGTTTTTATATTTGAAGAGCATCTTTTTTTTTCAGAAACATAGAAGATGATGGCTCAGTGGGTGCAAAAACTTCAAATGTGGATGACGTAGTCACCATTGTGAATCTCTATGTGGAGAAGTCAATGTATTTATTTCCTTGTAATTAAAACTAAAGCACAAAGTTTCAAACACGTTGGTATTACAATATATAATATTATAATATAATTTGTTTTTACTTATTGATGTTCCAAATTTTTGGAAGCTGAAACAGAGTTGCTATTAGCTGAAGCTACTCTTGTTGGCAAGTCAAATGAGGAAAACCATTCAATTAATAAAAATTCAGATGTATCAGAAGACGATTTTGTAATTTTCACATTAGCTATTTATCATAAATTACCATTAGAATCTTCATTTATAAATGATGAATCTAATCAAGAACATGTCCATTAGAAATTACTTTCAGAATTAAATGCCACCGAGGTAACAGTAATAAGTGGTGACTCATGATGACGAACCAAGGTAAAATGGTCACTGAGGTTCAACATATCTTAGCCATGTAAAAGAGTCCCAATAAAGATTTCTTATGTGTTGACTCCCTTCATCCTATTTTAGTCAGGTAAATCGAGTTTCTTCCTACATTTATTCTGTTCTTAGACTGTGATTCCAGACGATAACGTATCTTATCTCAGTTCTTCCCACATTTTTTTGTTTTTCTTCCTTATTTTAATTTTCAGATTTCATACAGGTGGTGGTGGTTGTTTCAAATTGACATGAAAAGGCAAATGTTCTCAAAATTCAACTTCTTTTTTGAATTCTTCATTCAGGTTGTTGTTGCAACGATTGCTTTTGGTATGGGTATTGACAAACTAAATGTAAGAAGAATTATACACTATGGCTGGCCTCAGGTATCTTCTTGAAACCCTTAAAAATGCTCTAATCACTTTTTAGGGCTAAAATCAATCTAGTTTTTTCATATCTTTCTGTATTGTGGCCTTCTACTTTCATTTCTACAACATTCTACTTTTTAACTTTTTTGTCTTGTTGAGGCATTGAAATTAGAATTGAGTTTCTTTAATAAACAAATCAATACAAGCTCTTTCAAAAAAAAAATCAATACAAATACATTACCCTTACTTTTCATGTACAGAGTTTGGAAGCATATTATCAAGAAGCAGGTAGAGCTGGAAGAGATGGAAAATTGGCAGATTGTGGTGAGTGACTTTTTGTTTTAAGTCATTTTATTATCATGGTTTACCTTAAAAAGAGTTAAAAGTTCGAATATTAACTTTTAGGTCAATCTATTTGATGATTTTAAAGATTTAATCAATGGTTTATATATAATTATTTGACAATCACAGTTAATTATCTATACTATAACTATCTTATAGCATTTTAACACGTGGCTAGAAATTATGAAGTATGTAATTGAACAATTTTGGTTAATTTCTTTATTCATGGATTTTAATGCACTTCATTTAACTTTCTGTGTTTTATTGAATAGTTCTATATGCAAATTTATCAAGAATGCCATCCCTTCTTCCAAACAAAAGAAGTGAAGAACAAACTAAACAAGCATATAAGATGTTATCTGATTGCTTCAGGTTGACCTTCAATATTACCCCTTTCAAGATCTCCATTTTTTTTATAAAATCTCTTTACATTATATTTAAAATAATATTTGATAGGATTGATCCGGTTGATGTGTTAGATTCTTAAAAAAAATAATTTCACTCATTTGATTTGAAAAAAGTTATTGAAATTACTCATCGGGTATGTGGATGAAGATAAAATATAATCTAAATCAACCTAATTTTTAGGTAAGTGAGTCAAAAATTGTTGAGACAATCTCACCAGGTTGTTGTTGTGATTTTCTTAAAAAAAGTAAAATTGGAAATGAAAGTAAAAAATATGTGCAAATGAAAATTATCCAATCTTATCACGGCATAATGAATTTCTTTAAAAATTATAATTTTTATGTGCTTAAGACCATATTAAACGCATAAATAGAATAAAGCTTTTAGGTTTAAGTGGTACCATGAGCATTTGTGTCATTTTGACATTTTTTGGTAATGAAAGTAAAAAATATGTGCAACTAGAACAAAGCTTTTAGGTTTAAGTGGTACCATGGGCATTTGTGTCAATTTGACATTTTTTATGTTTCTTAGGGGCGGGGGTTGATTTGATTCATTTTTACTCACTTTATCTCTCAACTTTCTACATCCAAGACTATATTATGGCAGTCCAAAGATTGGTTGTAATCAAAGTACGTAAAAGTCGAAGAAAGATCAAGCCTTTTTCCTAATCCATTCGCATTGATTTATGTTAAACTCTTATGTTGCCATTGAGTTTTACTTCCAGTTCATGTATAAATGTTCTTTTAGCTATAATCCTATTCAATAAGTCATACTATTTGGTGGTGTTCTTCTTAACATGAATTGCATTTGTTATGTTAGCCTAATCATATTTGTAGTCTGTTTTGTCATGGACTTTATCAAATCATTTAAAATGACTTGCGATTTTGGAAAGACCATCTTAAAATGACCATTTTGATCATCTCTAAATTTACATTACCATTTTGACTGTGTATAAAGTGCATTACCATTTTGGTTTTCATACGGATGGGTTTAGACTTGGACATGCTTTAATGAATTTGTTGGGTGCTTTACTGTGCTACTGGTGCTTATGTTCCTAAAATAGTAGTAAGTTCCACTTTTGTTAAAGAGTATTAATAACACGTATTTGATGATCAGGTGGTGCTGATTAGTTTTGTTTTTCAATAAACAAAGGGGTGCTTTATTCATACTGTTGCTACCGAGTTTATTAACACACAATGATGATGATGTTTTCCAACATCTTCTCATTGATGACTAAATTTTTTTACATAGATACTTATTACAAATATGCTATTTATTATAACTTTCTCTATTTGCTCTACTATCTAATACATATCATACTTTATGGTTCCTAATTCACAAAATTATACATAACCAAATAATTTATATAAAAATTATAAAATTCTAGAAATTATTTATTATTAGTTTAATAAAATTTTATAAATCTTTTACCCGTGGTTTCTATGGGTTGTAACCTAGTTCTATATATATTAATATATATTGTGTATATGGACGTAATATACATATCTAAATATATTAATGTATATTTATGGACGTAATATACATATCATACATATATGTATAAACCATGTGGATTTCAAACTCATGAAATAAATAGATGTGAGGTGCGAACAGATTGAGGTCTCATCATCAAAACTAAATGATGTATTAGGCCTTTATAAATAAAATAACAAGTCTTGGGAATTAAGTTAACGAGAAAAAAAGGACATATAAATCAAATAAAATATAATTACTAACTATAAATATTCAATAATATAAGAACGTCATATGACATGAATTTTTAATGCAATTTAATAATTGCATAGGTGTTTTGATGTTTAGGGAGTTTGAACACCTTGAATAATTCAATGGCCAAATTAAGGCTAAGGGTATTCGGTAGCGGCGTTTGAAGGTTGCTTATTCGTTAAACAATTCGTATCGGATTCGAGATGAGTCATTTATTGCGGTTAATTAGCACTTGTTTAAGGGGTAGCATGCTTGTACACTTGTTTGGTTGATGTGATGAATGTTTGATGTTATGTCTTGCTTTGAATGAGATGTATGCAAGTCTGATCTTGTGATGCATGTGCAATAATAATGAATGTATGCCTCATGGTATGCTAGAAATTATTATATGAATTAAATGGTGTTAAATTGTGAGTTTAGGTTCATGCTAGTGGTGAGTGTGTGCATGTTGGTTTGAAAATGATGTTGATATGCTACTTGCTGTTTTGTCACGTTTGATTAAAACTAAGAATTACATGCTAGAAAGTTGATTGCTAGAAGGTGTAATTCTCTATTTTGTTGATACATGCTAAATGTGAGAAAATGCATTGATTGTTGTGATGAATTGTAGTTGTAATATGCCTTAGATAATACACTTTAATCTACATGCATGATTACAAAATAATGGTGAGGTGTGTGTTACTCATGTGAGTGAAGTAATTAATTATTAAATTAATTAATAATAATCGGAATACAAGTGCACATGATAAAATGGTAGGACCCTAAATTTAGGTGAGTGCCTTTTGGGATATCACGACGGAAGGATATCGAAGAGAAAGAGATTACGCCAAGATGACGCCGAGTGGTTTTCTAGACGACCATTTTGAGGCGTGGTTTGAGTGCACTAAGGTGCACGGGAATGGAGTAATGTTGGCCATTTCGATCGGGGTCGGATCAAGCATCACGTTTGGGTGTACACATGTTCGTGGAGGTGTTTGATACCACCATTGAATGGCAACGGATTAGTGACGTCCATACAAAGTCGGATTAGTGAAGTTGGAGAACCAGGGACAGTGTTACGGGTGGGAGTCGCGCCCCATTTGGTGCACCGGGTCTCCAGGTCATAATAGTAGCAAACATGGTCTTACTTCGGGGGAAGTTAGCGATGATTAGACCCATTTAGCGAGGGACATTAATAGTTATTATATCGATGTAAATAAATAAATAATTACTACGATGAAAGAATGTCTAGGTTAATATATACATTATATATTAATATTTATAAGCGATGGGAGTTGGGGGTTAAAATGTATTTCCTGGATTAGTTTGTAAAGAATTTTGGAGATTAAGGGTGGTTTGGTAAATTCTGGATTTAAATTGAAATAAAATCTTGAGGGAAGGGGAGGCTTGGTAAATTATTGGGGCTTAAGTTGAAAAGATTTATGGAGGCAGGGGCTAAAGTGTAAGTTTTGGGCTTAAGTTGAAAAGATTTTATGGAGGAAGGCAGGGGATTGAACTTGTTAAAATGCTTAAAAGTTTGAAAGAAGAACACAAGTTAAGACCCATCATTCCTCCCGTGTATGGAAGCATTCCTCCCGTGTATGGAAGCATCACTCAAGTGAAACCCTAACTCTAAGTATACCAGCTGCCATGCGTGACTTCAGCCGCCACCCCTTTTCCCGTTCGTTTCCGACCAATCAAGGCCGCCGAGCGGCTGTTTCGCCATTGAAACGCAAACCTTTGTCGTCGGAGACGTCGCAGGCAACCGGAGAACCACCAAGGAGAGAGGAATGTGTGGGGTTTGTCGCTGCTCGAGTTGCGAATTACCGAGAAGTCGCTGGTAAGGTCATCTGCCGCTTCTTTTCCCCATTTCCTTCGTTCGTTTCGTGTTTTGACGTCGTGTTTGACGGTTGTGGGCACCGGCGGCCATTGAACCGCCATTTCTGCCCTTTCCGACGACCACAGCCTCCTAGTTGGTGGTTGGAAGTCTTGGTCTCGTGTCGTTTATGGACTTGGATTGCTGCCACAAGTTGTATGCGTAAGCTCGGATCTAGAAACCCACCGCCACCACCTCATGGTGCTGGCTGCCACCATTTTCTGCCACCTTTGCCGCCACCAGCCACCGTAGGAGGTGGCTGTGTGTGTGTTGTGTGTGAGTGTGTACATGCGATTTTTGGGCAGGAACCACCACCACCACCAATGGAATGGTGGCTGCCGCCGCCTGCCACCGTGAGCCGCCGCCGACCACCACTGCCCGAGGTGGCAGTGGGTGATGTCCGGCCTAGTGGAACCCTAATGGACCTAAAAGCTTAATTTTGGACTTGGTTGGCTTCTGTTTGGGTTAGAAATCCTAATTAGGGTTTAGAAAACCCTAATTTTGGAAACTGTTAGTTTTGGATTGCCGGGACCGGCGTGTGGACTGTTAGACTGGAATTTTTATTTATATCCAACAACATTGTATGAATGGCCTAAGGGAGTGATTGACTTAATGGATTAAGTCTTAATGGGTTAAGTCCTTAATGGGTTAAGTGAGAACACTTAACCCTAATTGTCATTTTATATGAAACCCTAATTTCACTTGGGCCTTGAGTTGGGCCTTTCTATTGGGTTTTAGTAATTGGGGCAATAATGGGCCATCCAAGAATGATCATATGGACTAGAATATTTAGATGGGCTTTTGGGTAAGGCCCATATGAGGGTTTGGGCCCAATTTGGAAAATTGGACCATAAATGGGCCATATTTTGGGCCATGATGGTTATATGATATTGGGCCATTAGAATGCCAAGTGTTGGACCAAGAATAAGTGCTTGGGCCTTAACGCAAGACCATGTAGAGGTTTGGGCCCAATTTGGAAAATTGGGCCATAGTTGGGCCTTGGTTCATTATTAGACTTTTGGGCCTTTGGATTGGGCCTTGGGCTTGAGTCAAGCTAAGTTATGGGTAAAGTAGTCTTTTACCCCGAGCATGGATTTATGGATATGTGTTGGGGACCCAATTATTAATTGGGTGTTATTTTGATGTTGACAGATTCGGGAATCTGTTATCCAGCAGCTAGGGTTTTGTCAACGGGACTTCAACAGTGTGAGGTGAGTTCTCCTCCAGTAGGAACGGGTCTAAGGCACCAAGGCCGGCCCGTATATGTGATATGTTAGTAGCTGAGTGTGGGCGGGGCCCGTATCTCATTATTACCAGAGTATAGATATCAGTCAGATTGTTGGATTGCTATACTTGTTGTCTGCGTGATACTTGTATGTGTTTGTTTATATATGTGAGTGTGGGCGGGGTCCGTATCTCATTATTATTCGAGTGTGGGTGGGGCCCGTATCTCATTATTAGCTGAGTGTGTGTGTGTGTGTGGGGGGGGGGCGTATCTCATTATTATTTGAGTATGGTTATTGGTATTATGGTAGGTTGTGTATTTTTTATCTGTGTGATACTTGTATGTGTTTGTTTATGTATGTGAGTGTGGGCGGGGCCCGTATCTCCTAGTTAGCGATGTGTGGGTGGGGCCTGTATCTCCTAGTTAGCGGAGTGTGGGCGGGGCCCGTATCTCCTAGTTAGTGGAGTGTGGGCGGGGACCGTATCTCCTTGAGTGTGGGCGGGGCCCGTATCTCTCAGTAGCATGATTATGTGTATGGTATGTGGTAGTTTGGTGAGACTCACTAAGCTTCGTGCTTACGGTTTTCAGTTTTGGTTTTAGGTACTTCGGTTTTCAAAAGAGGAGCTCGGGATGATTGCAGTGCACACACCATATGTTTAGCCTGGGATGTTTATACTCTAATATATTTGACAGATGTTATGAGATTTTTGAGATACACGATTTATGATTTTTATATGTTGAAAGATAATTATGGTTTTATTAATGATTTAAAACGAAATTTTTAGACTGTATTTTTGGGATGTTTCAAGTTGGTATCAGAGCCTTGGTTTGAGGGATTCGGGCTCACTCTCGGGTGTGTCTGAACTCAAACTAAGGACATGGTATGAAAATTTTCAGAAGAAAATCATTTTTACAAAAGAAATAAAAAAAAAGCAAAAAGAATTTTGAAAAAGAGAAAAAGGGTGTGGTGCATGCAAT